TGACTAATGAGTAACATATTCAAGGTCTGTGGAGACCCGTTTGAGAGGAAGGAGGAATATCTTTTTTAGTGACAGGAATTCTAGAAGCGACCACATTCTGCTGCTGGTGTGTTTGATACACATACAGAGCCCTCGGGATGGGCAGTCCTTGTGCATGTGGGACAAACTCTGCCTAAAGGTCTGCTGGAACATGATCTCGCTGGAGCGCTTCAGTAGAGTTACATCATTTCACCACCTGCCAAAATCACTTACTAAAGCTACAGCCAGAGCCACGCTACACACAGACTCATTCATTGTTCTGATTTGAGTGCATCAGCGTTAGCGATTACGATAAGAAGATTTTGTTTGCTTTTAAATTGCAACTGTGACCGATAATGGGACATGAGATAAAACTGTCAACCTTTGGCCCATTATAAAAAAGCAGACTGTTCGATATTTCAAACTGCATCTTTGTCACGATCCAGGTTTGTGATTTGCTGACATTGTTATAGTAGTTGACTTCATATTAACACTACTATCTTATGAAATTATTAGCATCAAAGGTGGCTTTCTGGGTCAGGGGTGGAATAGTCAATAAAATCCTGATGAATACTAATTCTTTTCAGTGATTATATTTTTATAGCAAACACTGTTGTCAACACGCTAAACTTGTACAGACTGATGTAAAATAGCAGTATGAGAAACTATTAGATATTGGAAAAGAACTGACATAAGAATTTTGGCCAATAACAATAACTTTTTTGGAATTTGGAAGCCTCATAGGGCGATAAAAGACATTCTTGATATTAATATTTCTGAGCCGGATTACAAAAAGTGGTCCCACTTTATATTAAGTGGCCTTAACTAATATGTACTTACACAGGAATTAATAGTTTACAATGTACTTATTGTGTCAATACATGTATTTACTGTGCACTTGTGCTTTATTAAATACATGTATGTAATTACATCTGTAATTAACTTTTGTAATTACATTTGTAAATACACTGTTGACCATCCCTTAAAGGGCCATGACACCCTCCCACTTTTGATTAAAGTCTACTTTAGAATTTTTTCAAAAGATGCATGAGTTTATAGTTTACAAAGTTAAAATGCAAAGAAATGAAAAGTGATTTAATGCTCTGCTACATTTGTTATTTGTAATTTCATATACACATAACCACAATTTATATCATTATAAAGATAAGTGTGTTCATGTAAACACTATAAATGAGGACTTCTCCCTCAATCCCCGTATCCAGCAGACTCAGGCCCCGTTTACACTAGTGCGTTTTAGTTTTAAAACGGCGTTGTAGAATGAAAACGATCCGCGTCCACACTCTCGTTTTACCCAGCGTTTCTGAACAGCTCTCCGTCCACACCAAAACGGTGAAAACGCACATCACGTGACCACACAGACACTCTCTCGGGCAAGCGCTCCAGCATTTCTACCCAGATGAGAGCTCTGCTTGTCGGACTGCTCATCACGCATCTCCCGCTGGATCTAATCTCACTATATTTGCTAAACGTGATATTTCATTCATGTTGTTGTCTTTATCTAATGACATAGGCCAATTCCCTGACTTTGGTCATTGGAATCTATTAAGTTACTTGTTCACGGGTAACATGTTTTGGTTAAGCGCAAAGATAAGTTAATGATTAATCTAGGTACATTGACTGATCGCTCGTCTTTATTTCCTACAATGTATAAACTTACTGTATGTTATACTTTTATAATTATCGATTATTAAAACTGATTTTCAGCAAAAGAGAGGGCGCGTTTCGTATTTTCACTGAAATTGAAAGGAGGCAGTTGTTATAGGCTCCGTTTTGTTATAAATATCCACACAGTGAAGATGACGCCCATATATGCAGCACGGCGCCTCAACATTTCTGCTGTCTGTTAAGTTGCTAATATTAAAAAGAAAATAGGCAGTTCCTTAAATCATGTTTACATTTTATTGTTGAGAAAGTGAAACAACATAGCCAAGGTGATGTGAATGCAGTTATAAAATACACTGTTCCCTTTGAAGATTTACCCGTGTCCTCGGTATGTTTTCCATATCAAACTGAGAAGGGGGAGACTGCAGCCTTGATCAAACTTGCGAAGTCTTAACTTACAAGAAGAGGATGCGAGACTGAACTGTGTGTGGGCTACTTAATATTGAGGAAAAGCCCCAATCAGATAGGCAAACGTTTGCAGCCCCGCCTCCGTTTTCAGATGTCTCCGTCTTTCCCCATCCACACTGAGACGGAGCAGCAGCGTTTTAGAATGAAAACGGCCTCTCCAGCGTTTTCAAAAAGCTCCGTTTTCGGCGCTCGAGAACTCCGGCGTAGTGTGGACGGATGGCGTAACCGTAGCAAAACTTATGCGTTTTCAAACTAAAACGCACTAGTGTAAACGGGGCCTCAGTGCAGCAGGTCTCCTGACCTGTCTATTTTAACCATTAGCCCTGCTGGTAATCTGGAGGATTTAGGCAAACACAGCAGCACGGCGATGTGTCTGAATATGAACGAACTCCTGATAAAAGACAGTGTCCCCCATTCTCTAATTCTCGTGCTGCTCTCCCGACAAAAATGCTAGCAGCACACACACAGCTTTGCTGTATGATCGGCCCTGACAAGATCGCGGGGGAAAACATGCAACAAACCCCGTGGATCATGAAAACAAACGCATATAAGCCTTCATGAACGGCTAAATACTGTGTGCCGTGGGTGCGTGACGTGTCTCACAGCTCGGGCTTGACTCTGGCAAGTCTGGCAGGTCTTATGAATAATTAAGCAGCCGGCTCTTCTCATAGGATAAGAAAACTCCGCTATGAATAATAATGAGAAATTGACTCGTCATCATTGCACTTGCAGTTTTGCGCTACGTCGCCGATTTTGATCCCGCCCCAAAAATCATTTTAAACCCGGAAGCTAAAATTAGCTGACAAAAGCTCAAAATGATCCAGTTTTCCCCACAATTAAAGCTGACAGGTGCTAACATTGTCTTAACTGATGCTCAACACACACAAATCTGTTAATATAAAAAAAAAAGTTCTCCAGGGTGTCCTGAACCTTTAAACCTTAACCCACCCTTAAACCTACCCACACCACCAAACCTGTCCATAACCCAACCTCTATCCCAACTCAAAAGCACCACAAGTGGTCTTAAATACATTATAAACACAGTAAGTACTTTGTATTTATTTTTTGATGTAAGTACATAGTAGTTAAGGACACCTAATATAAAGTGGGACCCAAAAAGGTACAGTGGGCAACTGCAGAAAAATAATAAACTGCACGAAACATCTTTTCCCAAAATTATTTACAAATTTCTCAGTCAAACAAATCTTGTCTAAAGATTGCATCTACTACAAGTGACGTCCTAATATGAATTAACCAGTGGAAACTAGGCATGCATCACATTTTTGGTGGCCAAAATTGAAAATGGCATCTTCGGTTTTCCCCAAAAGAGAATAATTAGCAAAAATATGAGGCCAAACAAAAGGCTATGCTGTGCCAAACAGCCCAGCAGGGCCATAGACTGTATAAATAGACAGGATGCAGAAAGTACTGCGCAATGAAACCCATTCACTTCAATGGCTTGTAGTTGGTTGGCTTGTTTGTTGCTACGTTGACCAAAGCAATGAGCAGCAGAGCGCAGTATGCACGCATTCAAAATTCAAATAGCTCAATATTATCTTTGCATGAACATCGCTAACTGGAAATCAAATCCACTCACATGATGCGTTAACAGGGCATTTAGTAGACAGTACCTGCTGTTTGCAATAGTGCTGCTTTTCAACTAGGTATGACTGGAAAATGCACCCGCATCACATGTGTGCTGCTTGCACAACATGTACATATTGCTCCCTTACGCATGACCTCCATAGAAAATGACAAACTTACACCCTAAGCCTATCAGCATTGCTTCCAAGATGCGTGCACAGCAGCCACGTTTTAATAAAACTATAGCGATTCATACCAATTTTTTTAATCGATATTGACAATGGTGTTCGGTCGATAAATCGGTACTGATTTTTCCGCCCAGCCCTCCTTTATTGGATGTGTTTTTGCATTACAATATAATTTAGGCCTACTTTTTTAATTGGCTTCTCAGCTGAGAGCGAGTGCACAAAACGAGAGATACATTAAATATTACAATTGTTAAACTAAACGTTCAACCCAAACTTGTGATTCTTTTATTGGTTCGTGTTCTTTAAGTTATTGTGTTAAATGTAAAAAGTCTTACAAAATAACTTTATATAAGTTGTACAGCCCTTATTTAAAACTTAACATTTATATTTCTTTACCTGGTATTATAAGCAAGATTTAGAATAATGGTATCCTGGGATTAAGTGCAGAGCAAAAACCCCTGAAGATTCCGGATAATTACTCCAACAGTTTTAGTGTTTTATTGCTGAAATAGCTCCACTTATCTGTTACTTAAAAATCAAGGATTCATTCAGCTTTACCAGATTTTAACCTATTTTTGTTCATGAAAAACTGTAAAAATTGCTAATTATTTTCTAAACCACTTTCTCTTTGACATAGAGAAGAAAGAAAAGAACATGCAATAGCCAAATGTTAGCCTATTCCAACCAAAATCAACATCACAACCACAATCAAAACCCAAGAGGGGAAGTTCTTATTTATGAGTCCTGAATGCAGCATATGATATTACAGTGAATGTTAAGTGCAGTCTGCCTCTCCATCCATCAGCTCATGTAACACTTTATCAATTCTACATTCACAGAATCCAGAATTCTGACTGCCCTGATCTGCAATGAGGAAGCAGTCACAAAGAAATCTCACCAGGCATTTTATTACAAGGTGGGAGAAATAAAAACTACCTAAAATAGTGGAGTGTATACCAGAGAACAGAATAGTCCTCCTCTAAACAGTCTATCAAACAGCAGTACTTTTTCCCATATCCTTTCCAAAAACACAGAGCCCAGGTAAAAAATACAAGTTTTTCCATTTTCCTTAGAGGAATAAAATAAGCCATCTTTGCACCAACGTGCATTTATACTCACCACACTATCAGCTCTATTTCCGCAAGGCAAACGCTTTTTAAGAATCCAACCCAAGTGTCTCAGCACCTGTAATAACATAACAGAAAAGGGTGAATGAAGCAAAATTGGTCAAGCATCTGGACAAAAAAACACCTGCAATGCACACCCCAATTAAACCATCCTGTCTGAGGTCAATGAATGTTGGTGGATTTTGCAGCAATTGCTAGTTTAGATGGAAAATGTCCTATCTTTAACTCTTTTTTTTTCCGCTTGGGAGACTCTGGCTTTCTCTATTGTTTTCCCATCTCTTCTTAGTAAGGTTAGAGTCTAAATGAGTATCTATATGGACTTTCTTAAAATTCCTAATAAATCTCAAAGTCTCCATGTAATTCAGTTGTTTGTTTGTTTTTTGTTTTGTTTTGTTTGTTTTTTACGATGGAACTTCCTTTTTCCCTAAGATAAAAATGCCACAATTCTTGTTAATTAACGGTCCAGTGCTTTAGGACAATAAGTTAAAACCGTTAGTTTAAAAGCTAAAAGTTTTATATGTATCCTGAACTATGCATATAATGGCGTTTTTACAGTGTGAGCTCAAATTAATGTATTCACAGACTGCACAAAAGCTGTATGTTTTGAAAAGAAAAAGCACTGACAATGATATGTCTTTCTGATGTCTGTGCTTAAATGGCATCAAATAAGGTGTCATTTAAAAAGCTTTGCATACTTTGTGTATGCCAACACACACACACACAAACAAATAGTGTATATGCAGTAGGGGTGTCACGATTTTGATTTTTAATCAAAATCGATCGAAATTTATGCTCAACTTCGATTATTGAATCATAAAATAGAATCGTCGATGCTGCCACGCCCTCATGTCCCGTTAGCTTTGCTTGCCAAGCGGGAAAAAACATGCTTGTTGAAGTGCTTGTTAAACTGCAGACGCGGAGACCCGTCGACAGAACTTAAACCCTCTCCTCTTTCAATGAAGTCGCCGGTGTGGAAGTATTTTGGATTTCCAGTTAGTTATGTTGACAACGTTCGTGTTGTCGACAAAAAAAAAAACACATTTTGCAAGCTCTGCTATGTACGTATTACGGTTGGGATGATAGACGATAGGCGCATCGCGATCCTCCGCCCCGCACCCGTTGCAAATCCGCTCGCGAAAAGTACACACTCAGGCCCTGTTTACACTAATATGTCTGTTTTTAAATGGCATTTTAGAAAGACAACGATCCACATCCACAATGGTGTGTAGCATTTCTGAGCAGCCCTCCTTCCTCTCTACCCCTGAAAACACATATCACGTGACCACACACACTCATTCACACACAGATACAGACGCACACACATTGTCATGCGTTTGAGACAGCGGGTCAAGGCAGTTAGCGAGTCAGTAGACTGCTTCCATCTTTTACTTTCACACAAGTACTTAGTCATTTTAGCGAACACCTCAGGTACTGTTGGCTGGTTTCTGTTGGTTGTGCACCTTTTTTACCGACGCCATTATAACGACACAGATCACAGCCTATTCACGAGTCCCGCAGAAAAAAGTGATTGACAGGTTGTAATTATATGTTTAACTTACCTTTATTCATTTACTGTATGATTTGTTTATGGATAAAACAAAGACCATGCAAGTCAGGTAGTTTAAACGGTAGGCTACAAATAATTAATTCGTTATTAATTAATTAATTAATTAATTAATTATTCATAATCGAAAATCGAATCGAATCGTGACTTTAGATTCGAAAATGTAATCGAATCGAGGATTTGGAGGATCGTGACACCCTTAATATGCAGGGCTATTGTTCCCACACCTAGACACTTCCAGTGAACGGCTGATGTGACTTTTTAAAATTTTATACGGTTCCTTTTTCAGAATCAATGTTCTAATGTAATTCAAATATAATCAGTTACGTAGACTCCAGCATTCATTTTGTCGTTCAAGCGTAAACCGAGATGAAAAGCCATTAACATGTATGCGTATGTCAGGATCAGCAAGCTATAGCGCAGAACTCCATTGAAAATAGTTGGGTAAAATAAATGTTTAAATTTTTAAAGACATGGCATGGGAAAATCCAATTTAATGCAGTGCTTCTCATACAATTTGAGACCCACTTTATATCGTATGTCAGGCAGTGGCGATTGTTGATTTTTTAAAAGAAAACAGACCTTTATCGTGCTGATTTTGTTATTTAATGCAGTTTACCAGAAGCACTTGACCCAGGTTACTGTAAAATTAAATGTCAGCATACACCCTATATCAGGGGTGGCCAACCCTGTTCCTGCAGAGCCACGTTCCTGCAGATTTCAGTTGCAACCCATATCAAACACACCTGCTTGTAATTATCACGTGGTGTCCAGGTCCTAATTAATTGGTTCAGGTGTGTTTGATATGGGTAGAAACTGAAATCTGCAGGAAGGTGGCTCTCCAGGAACAGGGTTGGCCACCCCTGCCCTATAGTAACACTTTACCATACGGTTCCATTAGTTAATGCGTTCAATAGCATAAACAAACAATATGATTATTACAGTATTTTTAATCTTTAAAAACATTAGATAATAAACATGCAGTTGTTCATTGTCAAATTAGAATTTTAATAATGAAGAAGTAAAGTTGAAATTAACATTAATGAGCATTAGAAAAATGTTGTTCATTTGTATTTCATGTTAGTAGAAACATTACAATAGGGTTCCAAAAAACAACTATACTTTAGGCTTACGTCAGCTGGCATAACAACAGGTGGATTTCACTAATGTCACTGTCAGCATCATTAAGCACATGACGTACAAGTTGAAATTCCAAGATAAGGGCACACCTAAGCCTACCACAAAAAAACAGGTTCCACCACTGTCAGGTAAAAACTGATTGCATATGTTCACCCTATAGTGTCTATTCCTTTACCCTACATACTTTAATGTTTAGGTTTTCCTAAAATGTGCCAATATCTTCTTGATTCTGAAAAAATAGTAGGCACTTATCAGTAAGTGTAAGGGTCAGGACACCAAACAACTAACACCAACTTAAATGTGTTGTCGCCTTGCTTTGGATTGCATCTGGACCAAAAAGCTATGTGTAAACCATACCTGTACCAAGGAGTGTAGGATCGGGGGAGGCGGGGTGGAATTATGGGAATTTTCCAGGAGAAATAACAAAATGTGAGGGTGAAGGGGAATGGGTTTGAAATACGGAAGACTTCCAGGAAAACGAGAGTGTTGGCAGGTATAGAATAAACACACCAAACTGACAAAAGCCGACTGAAATGACAGCCGCATTTTACATTTGCACTAGAGAATGTGTCTACCACCTCATGGGGGCAGTAGTGTGTATTCGCAAACCAAATGTATGCGCACAGACAAAATGTAAACAAAGCAGCATTCAGTACCATTATCACCGTAATTGTCACTCAGCATGGAGGCATTTGCTCATCCAAATATGTCTGATAATGTAAATATTTGAGAAATGTAGCAAAATTACAGCCGGCCACTTTGTGGTCCTTCTTGACTGAAATTTTTTGCTCGCTACATCACTACACTATGTCACACTCCCAGTCAAAGGGTGCTTTCACATCTGTGTTTCAGTTCATTTGGTATGGAACAAGGACAACAAATGATACATTGTAGCATTTTACTCCCGTTTGGGTTCTTTTCACACTAAACTGAATGCTTTGGTCCGAACTGGTTGAAAAGAACTAAATTGCAGTCATGTGACAAAATCCACATCACTCATTGGCCAGATGTTATTAACCTTATTTCCTAAACTGATTTTGGACTGGTCAGAATTAACGTGCGGGAAAATGCCAACGGAACTCCCACAAGCAAACAAACTGGCAGACACAAAATGTTGCTTTTAACTATGTAGGAACGACTGCGCTGGCTGATTGTATCCCTGGTCATAGTATACTATATAGACTATCACTTTAGACAAACTATACATTATGAGAATGAAGCGGGCCATGGCTGAAAATCAAGATGCATTGCAGACGGTAAGGGTGCATTACAAGTCACTTCAGGAAGAGGCATGAATTAATTTTGCTAAACTCCGACATGGTCATCTTCCGGAAATATTACCAATGATCCATCAGGATCAGGTTTCTCTCTCTCTCTCTCTCTCTCTCTCTCTCTCTCTCTCTCTCTCTCTCTCTCTCTCTCTCAATTCAATTCAATAATTGCTTTTTTGGCATGACAAATGTTACAAATGTATTGCCAAAGCCGTTATAAAGTTACATAAAAATAAAAGAATATACATATTTAATAAAAAAAAAAAGAAGTAAACAGTAGTAGTAGTATTAAGCCTGGTTTATACTTCTGCGTCAAGTGACCGGCGTAACTCACGGCGCATGCAACCCGCACAGCTGTGCATTTATACTTCTGCGCGCCGTCTCTGTTGGTCTGCATTAACACTTCCAAAACGCTAGTTGGCAGTGAGGTGTAAATGTTCCTCTGTGTCGAGTTTCTTCGCTTCTGTTTTGCTTTTCCTGAACACTTCCTGGTTGTACAAGTGACTCAAATTCGCTCATTTTGAGGCAGGAACCGGCGGACGCGCAACAACTTTAACTATGAGGCAAACACAAAACAAAACTTTCCATTTGGAGCTCCTTCACGGGACTCCACACTTGTAAACAATCGCTCGTGCCATTCATGCGGCTCTCGGTCCTACCTGCGACTCGTCAGTGCTACCAAGCCGACCAATCACAGAGCTTGAGCTACGCGTTGTTGCGATGTGTAGTTACATTTTTTGAGAGGTGCACGTCAGTGACGCCGACGGCCACAGCAAAGGGCTATGCGTCAGCGCCGTAGCATACGCCGGCGTTTGACGCAGAAGTATAAATCAGCCTTAAGTAGTAGCAAAAAAAAAAAAAAACTATGGCAGCTGGATTAGTCCAAAAAGGTGCAGTACTTTCTGGGGTTGGGTCTGTTCTAGTTCAGATCATGTTCTTACCACAAAACTCCAGGGTTTGTTCGAAAGCACTTTTTTTGGTCCGCTTTTGGTACGATAAGTGCAATTGCTACATTCACACCTGCCAAAATGAACCGCACCAAGTAGAAAAACAAACTCTGGTTCGATTTAAGCAAAGTAAATA